CCATGGAGGCCTTAGATTTGGGTAAAACAATCCATGGACATGCACTTAAGGCTGGTCTATCTGCTGATGTGTTTGTGTCCAATGCCCTTATGGCTTGCTATGCTAAATGTGGGTGTATTGAGAAATCAATGGAACTGTTCGAGGCATTATCGGACAGAAATGATGTTTCTTGGAACACAATTATTGTAGGCTATGTGCAGTTGGGTGATGGGGAGAAGGCATTGAGTCTATTTTCTGATATGTTTCGACAGAAAGTTCAGGCAACTGAAGTGACGTACTCTAGCATTCTCCGTGCTTGCGCTACTCTTGCTGCCTTAGAACTTGGACTTCAGATTCATTGCTTGACAGCTAAAACCATCTATGGCCAAGATATTGCAGTTGGTAATGCTTTAATAGATATGTATGCCAAGTGCGGTAGCATTAAAGATGCTCGTTCGATGTTTGACATGTTGAATCTACGGGACAGAGTTTCATGGAATGCTATTATCTGTGGATATTCTATGCACGGTCTAGGAGTGGAGGCAATAAAAATGTTCGATCTTATGATAAAAACAGAGTGCAAACCCGACGAGTTGACTTTTGTTGGTCTCTTGTCAGCGTGCAGCAACACAGGCCGGTTAGATGAAGGAAAACAATATTTTAATTCTATGAAACAAGATTATGGCATCGAGCCATGTATGGAGCATTATACCTGTATGGTGTGGCTTATAGGAAGGTCAGGTAATCTTGATCAGGCTGTGAAGTTTATTGAAAATATCCCTTTTGAGCCTAGTGTAATGATTTGGCGTGCTCTGCTCGGGGCTTGTGTAATCCATAATGATGTTGAACTAGGAAGAATCTCTGCACAGCGTGTGCTCGAGATGGAACCTCGAGATGAAGCAAGCCATGTTTTATTGTCCAACGTCTATGCAAGGGCGAGAAGGTGGGATAATGTGGCTCATGTTAGAAAGCATATGAAAAGAAAAGGAGTAAAGAAAGAGCCTGGCTTAAGTTGGATTGAGAACCAGGGTAACGTTCATTGTTTCACCGTGGCCGATACTTCACACCCCGACTTGAAGTTAATCAATGGAATGCTCGAACTCTTAAACATGAAAGCCAGGAAGGCAGGATATTCTCCTCATCTTAATGCTGTCCTACTTGATGTGGAAGACGATGAGAAGGAGCGTCTCCTTTGGTTACATAGTGAAAGATTAGCCTTAGCTTTCGGTCTGGTTAAGATGCCAGCTGGATGCCCGATTCGCATAATTAAAAATCTTCGTATTTGCGTTGATTGCCATTCTGCAATCAAGTTAATATCCAAGATTGTTGGACGCAATATTATTATTCGAGACATGAATCGTTTTCATCACTTTGAGGATGGGTTATGCTCTTGCGCTGACTACTGGTAAGCAAAATTTACTTCATTCTTGTTGTGGATTTCCATTGATATAGACTAGAATAGAAAAACTATATCATAGCTGTGATTCTGTGGTAAAAAGCTGCTGGTAGTAAAATATTAATCATAAATCCTTCCTACCTTGGTTATATGTTAAGTCTTGTCGACTTAATCTAGCATTTTTGTTGAAATTAATAGACTCCTAGCAGCTCGATCTCTGAAAGTTTCCGTTCTAGCGTGGCCTAGAACCTTACTTAGTTCAACCTTTAGATCAACCATTTCTAAACATATCATCAACAATAGGATAGCAGAAAAGCCAGAAACCTTCTTTGAAACTCATTTGACATAAATGCAATTATTATAATCACTCCTTTTAAAGCCACATTAATCAGTCAGGTGCGGTCTTTTCCCTGCTTCTCCTTGTGGCTATATATGCATCTGATAGTTCAACTTCTTGATAATAAATTCTTTCAGCTTCATGTTTTGGGTTGATTATCAAACTCATTTGGTGAGAATTAGTATTACGTGGAAAATTAGTTCGAGGGTGTTCGTGGGTAATGCTTTAGGGTGTTCAAAAGATCAGTGATCCGAAGATCCTGATCAACTCAACTGAACTCAACTTCTATGATCTAGGTTGGGTTATATTTATTGGATTGAGTTTAAACAAATAAAAATCCGTATGGATTAGTTGATTCATGAGTACGAACAAACATCGTCTTTTTATCAATAGTTTTGGGTTTACATTACACATATTTAGGTGGCCAAAACTTTGTTGTGTTGTGTGGGAAAGGTTAAAATGATAAGAGTAGGGAAACATCTTATCAATTGAAAGTGATTTCCCTTCCAATTACCACTAAGCATTTGTAGATAATTCAGTTAAAAATCAAAGGTAATTGAATAGTATGATCAAATTCCATGTTTGAATGTTCTTACATTCATTCCCATCAATACAAAAAGTGAAGGCTCATCCACCTTTTTTGATATTATTTGGAAGCCTTTCCTTTGAAGATTTCTTCATGGAGATATAATATATGGATTATGTTGACTTCCTTGGATGATACACTTCTAAGAATGGAGAAAAAAAGGGGCATTTGAGTTGAAAACTGTAGGATTGGCCATGGTGTTAAGAGATATCAAATGGGACGTTTCTCTCTAAGTTTTGGTTTCTCTCGCTATAAGTTTTGAATATCGCTCAACATAAATGCCATCAATGTTGAAAATGTGGATGATATCATATCCTTACACGGAATTTTTGTTCTTGTTAGTCAATATATATATTTGAAATAGTGATGTTTCTGATTAATTATTGTGGTTCAACCTAAAAGAAAATAAGAGTGTACCCAGACTGAGTTAGATAAATCTTAAAAGTAGGACATGGTTGGGTCGGGTTGTAACTCTATTTTCAGATTATTCGGGTCTAACACAACTCAACCTTTATAGTTTGAATTGAGTAGTCAAGGTTAGTCAGATTCTCAGATCATATGAACATCTCTAAAAGAAAATATTAACAATTCAATAATTCCTTAAAACAAGCTTTATCTTATCATAGCTAAACAAGCATACGTACACGAGAATAAATCAACCAGTTCATCCTTTTAGGTCATCTGTATGATCGAATCCCGAAACCGACTTAGATAGGAAGCTTGACTTCAACAAGTCCGATTCAAATTAGGAGACAAATAACACAAAAGTTATGAAACGTACACAAAAACATAGAAAATTCTGCATGAATTCGAATAATCATATGAAATGTACAAAGAAGGGCACAGAAATGGCCTAAGGGATTAAACTAAAAAAGGGACCTTTTAGGTATTTCCAAGAAAGCCCAAAAACAGAGAAATAAACAAATATTTAATTGAATAATTGGGCTCACCCATTTTGGGCCAAATTACTAAATTTTAAATTATATGTCAAATACATGAAGAAATAGATATAATTTTTAATAAATATATAAAATTTGTTTAACCCAGAGTTGGAAAATAAATAATAATTATTATAAAATTAAATAAAAATATATACATGTATTTATAAAATAAAAATAAAAAAATCATTTATTTTAATTCCATCCAAATAATTTCATAACTCAATCCAGATGGTTCAAATTGAACTGGGTTGATTAGATTTTTCAGATCATCAAATTTTTTTAATCCGTCTTCGTCTTCGTACGATTTTTAACATTATATATGGAATATATTGAACGATCGCAATCCCCTTAAATTCCTAATAATTAACATTAATCAACTAATCAATTATAGTTTAACTATCACAAATCAAGTTTTAAGGAATAAAATAGACCTTATTTGTTAATATTGCAAAAGGGGGAAAGGTCTTTATGGTCATTTTCAAGGATTGCCATGTGTCCCTCACATTTTTAAAAAATATTTTACAAAAACCGTTAATTAATTCTTAAAAAATAATTAACATTAATCTTTTATACATATTTTTTAATAATTTTTTTCAACATTTGTTTGATTTATCTTACATGCATGCCATTTAGACCTCGAACATATTTTACTTGTTTTAAGCCACATTACGTTACAAAGCTTCAAAGTCACGACACATGCTAATACGTGTGCAAAAAGTTGATTTATTACGGTCGTTCTTTAATAAAATTTAGAAATACTTCAATTTCTATGCACAAACAAAATTTGTTTTACTTTACTGAAAAAACGGTTATACTTTATTCATTTTTAAATACATTTTTCAATTTTAAAAATAATAAAAATGTGAGTAACTATCCTAATCAGTTTTTGTCTCAAAGTCAGTGTTATATTTCACGTCTATTATTTTTTAGAAGAAATATTTAAATTTATTGTTTATTAAATAAAATTATTAACTAAATCGAGTATTATGTCAAAATAAATTCAATAACTCAAATTTAAATGTCAGTTCAATCAAATTTTACTTGAGTTTAGCCCAACGCTTAAGGTATATATTAACGGAGGTTTAAATTCTTTCTTTTAGTTTTTTATAATTTATAATTCAAAAATAAAGATTAGAAATATATTTTTTTTAACGTAATTCAAGTCTAAAAATACTCTTAATTTTTTTTAAAAAAATCTTTAAAATATCCTTAAATTAAAAAAAAAAAAAACTAAAAAAATATTTGTTACTTTAAATTTTTTTTAGTTAATTCAAAAATATTTTTACTGTTACTACACATTTCAACACAAACTTTCTAAACGAACATCTAAATAATTGTAGATAATCTACAGAGTGTTATTAGATGATTTTTGTTCATATATCGATAATAAAATTCTTAAATTTTTTTTTATAAAGGTAAAGAACGTTAATACTATTTTAAAATTTTCATGAGTATTTTTGAAATACTGTACTAACCCGTAAATATATTTTTATTATTTTTATTAATTTAGTCAAACATTATGTAAAGAGCGTTAAATCCTTTTTAAAATTTTATGGGTATTTTTTTAAATACAGTACTAACCGTATTTTTATTTTTAATTAATTTAGTCAAACATAATATATACATACATACATATACATATACATATACATATATATATATATATATATATATATATTACCCACCAAACTCTTTTCTCTCTCTTGTGCAACAATTTCATCATCACCACAAGGTTCCAAAGATAGAGAGAGAGAGAGAGAAAATAATGAAAAGCAAGAATTTAGATGAGTGATTATCCAATACTCCAATCTCATGGAATGCACTTTGATTTTGATCTCTCAATCTCTTCCTCTTTTTCTCTTCTTCCATGGCTCCTCCACCTAATTTCTTCTTCACTCCATGCCTCCCTCTATTCCACCGGATATGACAATGGTCGCTGCCCTAAACCACCTCTCCAAACACCCTCCTTGCGGCGGCCCAGGCGGCGGCGACCACCTCATGAATGGTGGCCCTCCAATTTGTGATCAATATTCTTCCTCTTCTTGCATAGGATCTAATCCTCCCATGGCGGATGATGATGACTCCTCTCCTAATTCTCTTCATCATCAATCCCCTTCCAATACTGATCATGATGCTTGGCTTCAATTAAGCATCGGCCGTGTCGGCGTCGGTGGAGACCAATATGAGATACCTCGAACCACCTCCCCTTTGGTCGAGCTAGATCTATTACCCGGCAGCCACCACCCTCGAGATATTCCAACCGATCCTACGTGGGTTTCGAATATCTCGAGCCCAGAGGCTGTAATAACATCCAAAACGGAGACGGAGATAGAGACAGGGATAAGGATGCCTTTGTGTTCTTCTTTCAATTTGACTGATATCAACGTAGCTCAAACGTACCCGTCGACATCAACCATGTTATCTTCTTCTTCTTTTCACTCGAGCATACCATCTATCAGGGTCGACGCCATGGCAGCCGGGACAAGCTCCGATATCAGAATCATAAACCCTCCCCGGCGACCCGGTTCGGGTATTTGGTTTACATTGAAAGCCTTGGAAAATCAGTAAGATTTCTCCTCCTTTTTGTTCTAATTACATATCATAATCACATAATTCTCTAAACTTTAAAATTTTTGGGTTTGTTAATGCAGAAGAAAGCAACCATTTTTGCCTCAGATATCAAAAAGCTATTTAAGAATCAAGTAAGTTCTTTCTCTCTCAAATTAACACAAAAATTCTGAATTTTTTTGGATCAAAATCCATTTTTTATGAGTTTTTAAAATTTTTTTTTTTCAAAATCAATAGGGACGAAAAGATCAAAGTTCGTTTGATTATGAAGTATTTGGTTAATAAGCTGAATCTCGACACCGAATCAGAGGTATTTATTCAATTACTGTTCTAAATATTAGAAATCACCGATCTCCACAATGGTACGATATTGTCCACTTTGAGCCTAAGCTCTCGTGACTTTACTCGGGGCTTACCCAAAAAATCTCGTACCAATAGAGATGTATTATTTGTTTTAATTCATATTCGCAATTAAAGATATAATTTGGATATAAGATTTGGTGTTACTGACCTGATGGAAACATTAAAACTAAATTAGGGTTTTCTAGCTGCTTAATTAATTAACACTAATCCATATTTTTAAAAATTGGATAAATAAAAAATTAAATAATTAGTTTAAAAAAAAATAAAAAGAAATTAAGGATACCATATATGAATAAAGAAAACAACCCACCAACTTTTTTTCATTAAAAACCTTAAATATAATTAATGAATATTAATCAAATAATTAGACAAAAAATGCATTTCTATAATTATCAACATTTTTTTTTGTTTCTTTTAATGTTTATTGTTTTTTAAGGTTTCCTCTCCTTTTTTTTAGCATTTCAATGTTTTAAATGTTTTAGAAAATGAAAATTAATAATAAATAAATATTTCTCTTTAAAATAAAAAAAAAATGAAACCTTTGTATAATTTAATAGACTATGATTACTAACATATTATATATATATATATATATATAGTTTTTTTAAACTATGATTGCTTGTATTATAAAAAGTGGTGGTTAACATGGATGAATTAATAAGCAAAATTATTCATAATAATAATAATAATAATAATAATAATAATAATATAGAATTAAAAGAATTTATAATGCTTAGAATTATGCTTTTCAAGCTCACACTTTATTATTTATTTTCAATAGTTTTTCATTAATAATTAGAAAATATTTAGTGTAGGTATTTATATATTTTTTTTAATAAATAAAGTAGAAAATAAAGGAAAAAAATATTTAAATTATGTTGGGATTGACAAAATATGAATTTATTATTATTATTATTTGTTTTTTAGTATGTTTTTAATGTTTGAATATTGACTTGGATATTTTTATATGGTATTGGCTTAGCATGCACTCTTTTGGAGATCCACTAACATAAAAAGTGAAAAAGAATTAATTATATATTTTCTATGTAACAAAAATTATGTGTAAAATCGAGAAAGCGACACGTGGACCCGAGAAATTATAATTCTTTTGGCATTAATAAAAATATGGAGCTTTATGTTCGTCATGCTTTCGTGTGATTTAAGTCAGCCATGGAATTTTTAGGGTTTTTTATTTTTTATTTTTAATTTCTTTTAGTAATATTTATTTATTTATTTTATTTTTCTAAACATGATCACATTATATTGGGAGTAGGGCCATATTGATTGCATTTTTATTTTCCTTTGACTTTATTAAATTTTTTATTATTTTTATTATTTTTATTATTATTATAGTCTTGGAAGTTTAGGCTTTTAATTTTTATTTCTCACTTTTTTTTTTAGTCCTATGAAGCATCATTAATTATTTATATCTCTAAGTATGGATCATTATCTTTATGATATAGGGTTAAAATATTGTGTTTTTGGAAAGTTCTTTACACGTTTAGAACGACTTTTGAGAAGAACAAAAATTAAGAATGAATTGCTACCTTAGGATCGTTATAGTTATGGCCACCGTTCATGGGGCTTCGATCGCCGGCTCCCCTGTGATGCTCGAGTAAAGAAGAGGTACATGAATGAATTTAGACCTCACTGAATGAGAGTGACCCAATGGATATGAAATAGTCGTTCATATGGGCTTAAAAGAATAGACAGTTACTACCTATATCAATGAAGTATACCTTCCTTTCCGGTGACCTAATTATAGAGCTAAATTTAGGCTTGTTTGGATACTAAAAAGGTCGAGTTGATTTGTGGGGATGACTTACACTTAAGTAGGCAGGTATTGTACTTGTAACAGCTACTACCCGTGGATATTCTATTCTTTTGAGTTTTCCATTTTTAAAACGCGTTTTTTAGGGAGAGGTTTCCACACCCTTATAAAGAATGATTCGTTCCACTCTCCAACTGATGTAAACGCGTTTGCTAGGGAGAAGTTTCCACACCCTTATAAAGAATGTTTCGTTCCACTTTTCAACCAATATGAGATCTCAGAGTAGTCATGTTGTAATACTCGGTTCACAAAAATTTTAAATTTAGATTTTTTTTCGAGATGGGTTTTGGTAAATTTATTTATTTCAAAACCCCATTTTTTTTTTTGGGGCAAAATTTGACGTAGAAAAAAGAAAATTAGAGGTGACATTGTGCATGAAGATGAGGGGGGAGATAGTGTTTCTAGAGGAGAATCATTCCAAGTAGTTGAAAAGGGACAAAAATTTAAGCATGAAAGGACATATAAGAGCCTTTGACAATGATTGGAGAGAGAGAGAGAAAAAATGTTTTGTTTTTTGTTTTTTTTTGTTTTTATAAAAATATTATGAAAGTAAGAACATAGGGCGGCTAAGCTAATGAAAACTATATAATAAAAATAAATAATGTATGTTGACCTTAATAAATTAGGGCTTCCTATAGTAACATGGGGGAGCAGTGCATGAGAAATGTATATATTTTTAGTTATATAATAAGGTTTTATTTTGGTTAATACATTATGGGTTTGATTAATGTTTGGTTTAGCTTAATTTAATTGGAATTTTTGTTTAAGGGGCAAAGTCTTGTTTGGGTCCCAAAATGATTCTTTTTTCCTTCTTCTTTTGCAATCTATTATACCTTTCTCACTACTTAGAAATTAGGGTTTCTTTTTTCGACTTTTTTTTTTTTATTCTATCCTAATTTCGAGGTTGAAAAATTACTCGAGGCTGGTACTGTAACAACTAGAGGCCACCGTTAGTTGATATTATCCGCGTTGGTCCGTTACGTATCATCGTCAGCCTCATGATTTTAAAACGCGTTTACGTGGGGGAGAGATTATGGACCCTATTATGTTTTTGATAGTCTCTTTCACACTATTTTTATAGAGAGAGATAATGGACTTTTGTGTGTTTCTTCACTTGCTTTTTCTTTTTGCTTTTTAGGGTTCTTTCATTAGAGAGATGTTTAGAATGGAAAAACATGTAAGCAAATGACAATGCATGACTTCATTATTTGGAACATTAATTTCTAGAACAATAGAGTATGGATATTAGAACATATATCGATTGTTATGAACATAAATTGAATATAGATATTACAACATATGATTGTTAGAATAGATATCGGATGTTATGTAAAGATATTGAATGTAGATATTAGAGCATATGATTGTTAGAACAGACATCAAATGTTATGAACAAATATTACATATGGATATTAGAACGTATGATTGTTAGAACAGATATCGAATGTCATGAAAAGATATTGCATATGAGTATTAAAACAGATATCGAACGTTATGAACAGATATTGCATATGGATATTAGAACACATGACTGTTAGAACAGATATCGAATGCTATGAACAAATATTGAACATGGATATTAGATTATATGATTATTAGAACATATATCGAATGTCGTAACCAATTGATTTATATTTGGTGACGTGTTGCAGGTAGAGATAAGATGTAGAGGGCAAGAAGTGGTTCCCTTTTGGACATTGGCGGACGTCAGAGATAGGATTTGGTGTAGTTCTTCATCAGACTCACCCATCACTTGCTCTCCTCACTCCTCAACCTTAAATCACTTGATGCTCCTTCACTATGGAAGGAAGGATTAATTAATTGCTTCTAATTATTTTTTGTATTTGATTACTTTTAGATCTTGTTTTCTTCTTAAATACGCACGTTGAAATTGTTATGAAATTTTGACGTAATTTAGGAGTTATTTCGAGGCAGGGAACATATGTTAAGTCAATTGAATTATGCTCAAATTGACTTAAAATCATTGTAAGAAAATAAGTCAATTGCAGTGATTATATATTTTGAGGTAAGGCAGAGGTCATTAACCGTTGCAACAGTTTTGCAACAATTTATGAACCCCTTGCTTGAAATGCTCCATGTCAAATATTTATACAAGAATTTGAAATTCAGATTCGACACATGATGACTCCAAACGACGAAGAAGACTGACTCGCCCCATGAACATCTGTCTCTAGTCTCTAGTGGTTTCTTGCCATTCACAATGATCACAGAAAAGCTGAAATGAGCAATATATGAGCCAAGTGAAAAGCAATTACACAGCTACTTCAGAAGTTGGTTGATCTTTACAATATACAAGAGGAGAGAGACAAGTAATTCTGCTGTTAGTTATTTTATAAGCAATCAGAGGTACCTACCGAGGTACTGTTGAAAGGCTATGAATCTATGTCATTAAACAATGCCTTGGAAACCGAACGACATAAACGATTTCCATTGTTAACAGCTTCTTCATGGCCATCTCGGTTCGCACTCTGAACCGAGTGTCTTTTTTCTGGGGTCTCACACACCATGTCGTTGCTTTCCCTATTTGGGTGCTTCCTTTTCGACTCCTTTTTAAGATGATTCGTCTTAGATTTCCTCGTCTTCGTTTGGTTCGGTGCCCAAACTCGGTGCAAATCTGGTACCCAGCTCGTGAAAGAGGAAAATCTTCTGGCCCTTTCTCTCATTTCTTGAGCTTTGATCAGTTTGCTAGTGTAGCCATTGTTGATCCCTGGAGGTTTTTCATTGTCATTTCCACGGATTTTGTTTTCTCTGTTTTCTCCTGAAACTGGATCATTGGAGCTATAGTTGTCACCGACTTCATCGCTAACTAAGTTATCTCTCCAAGAATTATTGCTATCCTCACTGTGGAGAGAGTGATTGGTGGATTTGTTCTCATCAACAAACAACAACAAATCCATTTTTTCATAGATCTTATTCACTACATCTCCTAGACTTTGGCAATACCTGAAATTTTAAGCAAAAGAGATAAAGTGAGTCCTTCTCAATGAAAACCTCCATCCATCAAAAATCAAAATTGAATCCGAAACAAATTGTTTTATCTGACCCGAAGCATCCGGGAAACTCATCCTCATGCAGATACATACAAATGGTGCAATGAGAGAAATAACAAGCCTGAACTTTATAAGGTACCTAACATAAGAAACAATCTAACGAAGTCATGCTCCAATCCTCCACAATTGGGAAGCCTTGATGCTTTAGTTCTTTTGGGGGAGGGGCTCCTTGCCTCTCTTCCCCTAGGCTGTTCTTTTTGTGATTAATATATAGTCCTGTTTCTTATAAAGAAAAACAAATAAATGAAGTTGTGCTCTAGAGTAAATATGCTGATGAACGTGAGGAGCTGAGGGATTTAGAACCCAATTTATGAACAAGTGAGAGGTACCAAACTTTGCTGCTATAGTTTATCCATAAAGCAGTTTTTTCAGCATACAACCTTTTTTTTTTGGATGCGTCCGGATTAGGTTGTGTGCACCTCAACTATTTTCATGGGACAACCACCTCATTCGGTTGTCAAGGACATGATGTTAAATCTTTAAATAGGTGACCATCATGACTTGAACTCATTCTCTTTGAGTCACTATTTACATGTTCTTTACATGTTCCTCATTCACCACTAGGCGAGTTAATAGTACTTGTTTCAACCTAAAACCTTCAGATTCACAGTTTCAATAGACTTGTGCAATTGATATCAATGATTCCAAAACCTCCCTCTTCTATGGGAAGAGGAAATTTTTGCACACTTAAAGAAGGTGGATATCCATTTTCCTTGCAGTCATGCCGCAGGAAGTTTCTAAAACTTCTCTCCACAAATTTGTGATCTTAGACGGAAAACGGAAAAGACATAAGTCCTAGTCTAAATATAAATCCTAGTCTTATTACTTAATATCTAAAGATCTAATTAGATTTATTTTTTGCATTCTTTTTTGCATTGCTACCTAATATCTAGATTGTTATATTGTTGCATAGTTTTGTATTTAGGATTTAGTCAAGCACATGTACCTTTCTCAATCTAAAAATTAAGAAGAAATATGAGTAAAATAATCTACCCTTCTAACGTGATATCAGAGTCATTCTAATCCTCGGAAGTGTGATTAAATGGTGTATCCTTTATAGCTATCGATCTTCCACCTCGACCAAGTTTAGTTAGAGCCTTCATAGCTACCATTTTTTTTCTTTATATGTGTGTGTATATTATATATATATATATATATATATATGTATGTATGTATGTATATAAAACCAAGCTTTTCATGAGAAAAATGATAGTCACAAAAAAGCTCACAACTACCTACAAGAACAAGCTCCAACCCTGACACTAACCTGATAATTACAAAAAGTCTGACAATCGAAGATCCTACTCCTGCTATCTAGAAATAACACACCACTCCAGACACAAAACCAAGGTGGTGTACCGTTGAATACGATCCTAGGCGTCCACTCTTCCATGTAGAACTTTTCAAGCAAAAAAAAAAAAAAAAAACAAAATTCCATTTTTTAGGAACTTCTAACCTTCCAAGATATTGTCCTGTCATCAAACCATTTTTGCATTTTATTGTTCCAAAGCATTTTAGTCTGTTGGAATGCTTTCAAGATATGACACCAATCGTCCTGAAAGTTTCTCCTATGTATAAATAGTGGACGATAAGTCAACGGAAGCAAGCTTGTACAGTGTCAAAGGTGGTTAAGGGGAACTAAGGGGGCTGCCTGTGGTTAGGGGTAGGTGGGTTTGTGGCTAGTTCCATTAATTTTTTTCTGAAGAATGTTTCTGTGAGAGGTCTCATTAATGGAATGGATGAGGCGGGTCGGTAGTTGTTGGGAAGCGATTTTATCACTTTATGATTCACCACAATTGGAAAGCCTTTATCAACTAGTCTCTTCAAGAAGGGATCTCCACAACCCCTGCGTAGGGGTCTTTTTTGACTTAATATATATATATATACTTCCAGGTTTCTTATAAATAAATAAATAAAAATACTTTTGTAGAGAAGCAAGTACCTGCTTTTTATGATCTTTCCAACATAATGTTTTATGCTCCACTCTCCAAAAAATCCTCCCTCCAAATGGCATTGAATTGATTCTAAATGCAAGCAAATATCTTTGACAAACTTTTGCTTCATAGATTCACTAATGTTGAATATAATCAGCGATCGTAAAATCTCCATTCGAAAAAAGATCTGCAATTCATGTCTAGTGCTTGTTAAGAAAAGTGCATGAAGGAATTGGATTCAGATCATTCAAGTATCAATGTCAAAAGAAATATAAGAAAACAATAAGTAAGAAAAAAAACAAATAATTTGATCTAAGGATACTCTCTGACTATGCTGTCTGAGGTCTGTCCAGTGGATCTTGGACTACACTCCTCAAAGGGGAGACCATCGATCTTGGGCTTGGTAGCCAAGTCTTCGGGCTCTCTCAGCAAGAGTTTATTCAGTTTTGTAGCCAAGTCTTCAAACTTTCTGGCATTTGGTTGATCATCGGAAGTGCCCTGCACTTCATACTTTTGACTTAACCAGTAAATAGCTGAACTCACAAGTCGCTCTGCCAACGCACCCAAGTCAACAACTTCGGATTCAAGTCCTTGCTGGATCTTAGTGGACAGATTATTGAAAAAGTCTTCGGAAGTCTCCAAATGATGGTCAATGGTTGCTTCAGCCAATGTTTTAGAGGCCTCAGCCAAGGAATTTTCTTGACCAGATGAAGTCATTGGTTCTTTAGTTTCTTGGTGCAACTGTTTTGATCTATCATCTTTTTTATCGAGAATGTCCCGCTTTAATTGCAACTCCTCAGGTAACAATAGCTCACATAAAGTGGATTTCTTAATCTGTTTTACCCAGCTTCTGAAAAATTTCATTTTCTTTGAGCTATTACAATATCTGTCGAAGTATGCATTTTCAAGTTCAATCTTCACGTGTTCGAATGCTGCCTTGTAAAAATCTGCCCAAGTGAAGTTTTGGATTGAATGTCTAGTCTTCTTCTCTGCTTTCATTTTACCATTTCCATCTTGAGAACACTTAACAGACGGAGAAGCCTCAGAATCAACTACATTACATGATTTGTTCAAATCACCACCACGTTTGTAAGTATTGTTACCTTTTTCAGTCCCCACTTCTTCCAAACGCTTATCCTCATTAGTAGGCTCCAACACAAGAGGGTAGAATTCTTTGTCAATGACAAAGAGAAGAGCTGAAGAAACCATGAAAGGCTTTAAGATTCCTAACTGTGAATCACCATTGGCATTTGAAATAGACACCAATGCCCAATAACCTTCCCCATAAAGAAAACTCATAAGAAGCTGAAAAAAAGGAATAGGTTTCGACATTCTACAATCACCCAGTTCAAGTGCCATCATTTCCAAAACCTCATCAGCAAAAAATTTTCCATTATTTCCCTGGATGTTCTTTACCGGCACTTCTGAAAATTCAAGCACAAGAAATGGATATGATAGACGACCCATGTATCTCACTAATTCGGTACACTTCTGCACAGCCTTAATATGTAGCTTTACAGCACCATCACCAAACAAAGATACTTTCCTTTGCTCATAGCCATCTGATCTTATTTTCAATCCTCCTGGTACGAGCAAAGGATCATCAGATCTATTTTCAAGCAAAGTCTTCCAATCAATCAATTCAAGATTACAAAACTTGCATTCTAGTGGCTTCTCGCTTCTATCCAAAATCTCAAGGCACAATCGAGCTTTAATATTCTTCTTAAACTTATGAATGTCAAGATTTCTCAACGGCATTCCTAGCTTAGGGTAAATCAGCCCAAACGGGAGAAGAGCAGATCCTAAAACAATGGAGTTCGACGAGCAAAATCCCCAGCCTAAATTCCTAATCCCACTCTTTAAAAACCCAAATTTCACATTCAGCTCATCATTATTTATCGTATTCTCAGTAGACTCATGGTTAACATTAATCCAACTAAATTGAATATCCTTCTGTGAAAATGCAGCATTTACACTTTCAAACAACCCACAGAATCTTCTACTAAACAAATCCAGATTTCTAACACACTCATCATCCATAGCCACTCCCAGAAATCCAGACAAACATCCAACCAATTCAGAAAATGGTGAAAACAAAACAACCAAATTTTTTTTAACACCAATGCAATCAAAACATTCAGAGGGTGTACTATGTTCCAAATCTTCCATCACAGAGTCCCAAGCATAATCGTGCAAAAGCTGGCGCATCGACGCCGCAAGGCACGAAGCCTGTGAGTGCATCGGTTCAGAAGCATCAAACAATGGAAATTGATGAAGTTTCAACAATGAATCAATGGCATTGGAGAGAGAGTTGAAAGTTGCAGTTGGGTGGTCGAAGGAGAGGGAAAGAGAGCAACTGGGAATCAAACCGAGTCTGGAGGAGGAAAGGAGAGGAGAGAGAGAGGAGAAGAAGAATCTGAAGGAGAAGAGAGTTGAGGATGAAAAAGGTGGAAAAGAGAGGAGAATTTTAGCAGTGGAAGTTATAGAAGTGAGATATGGAGATGGGTTTTGGAGATGGTGGAGTGGGTTGAGATCTACAAGGAGGACTATTCGGTGGGTTTTGGAGTAATCTAAAACTGGACCAAACGCCATTGCTGCTTCAATCTGAAAGAACTCAAGACCAAGAAAACTTAGATTTTAATGAACTCGGGAAATGAAAACAAGATATTTGATAGTCACAATCGTACCTAAACAGGATTCCTTAAACAAGCCACTTGAAGTTTCCAAACCTGTAGTATTATCTCAACTTGGTCAGCAATTTTCATTCTCGCAAAAGTAAAACTACCATGAGGCTACTTGTTAACATTTAGATATGACGCCTATGCATCCAAATAAGAACAATTTAATACTAATAATTGATATTTGTAAAGGAACTGAAGCGCTTGTTTTTTTTTTCTTTGTGAAGCACAAAAGAACAATAAAAATAAAGTTGAATACATATGACCAAATATATATAGCATTATGATAATGAGATATTGAAAAACTAAAGAATTGAGGAAGCTTATGAGTTGTAAACATATAGACTTTTATGTTACTTATTTCTTATTTCTTTTGATAAAGAAAACCCTGATAAAGAAAACCCCAAGCACAGAACCACACATGTGAGATCGCACATCGGTTGAGAAAGAGAACGAAACACCCTTTATAAGGGTGTGAAAACTTCTCCCTAGCAGACGTATTTTAAAAACCTTGAGGAAAAGCTCGAAAGGGAAAGCCCAAAGAAGACAATATTTGCTGGCGGTGGGCCTGAGCCGTTACAACACGACTCAATACGGAAAAATGTCAAAGGCCAAAGACTATGTTTAACTGATCCATTCCGGATCGACCGAATTGGTACAGAAGTTTGAACATGGACTTTTGAATAGAAGGAAGTGGGATGGATAGCATTGGTTAGACTGATTAGTTTGGTCACCTCCTTGTAAACAAATCATATCCAAAGCCATGGTGAGAGACTAAAAACATGCTTCCTCACGTCATTGATGACTCGCAAGCTACCTTTGACGAAGGGAGACAAATCCTTAACAAGATATTGGTGGCATCTAAAACCATAGAAGACTCAAAAGCGAAGAGGGAAGGTTTTCTATTGAAACTTGATTTCAACAAGGCCTACGATAGGGTTGATTGGTCATATTTAGATGCGATCCTTGAGCTAAAAGGCTTCGAACCAAGGTGGAGAAGGTGAATTTTGGGTTGTTTATCGTCTACAGATTACTCCATTTTCATTAATGGGCATGCGTTTCAGTGGATAAACAACCATCCAACATTCACTCTTCTAGCATAACAGCATGGTATTTTACAATTCATACATAATCCGTAGAAAAGAAACATAATCAAACAATACATACAAGCAAACAAATAAACAGTCTCTAAACATATGCAGCACCATAACACATGCCAACACACGTATTTCAGCAATCAACCGCCATAATCATGTTATTCAACAATCTCCTGCATAAACACACATCCCTCCACAAATGACAAGCCACTACGAACATCTTAAAGCACTCCTAAACTATTCGAAAGGAAGTTAGAACATATTCCATCATACTTGGTCCAAACCGATGGAGGGTTCAAGAGGGGTTACCAATGGGTTACTTACCCATAATTGACCTTAATGCTAGTTCGATTTATCCGAAACTAACCCACGTTAGGAATCACGAATCTCTACAATGGAGCCTCCTCTTAATCGAGGCTCGACTCCTTCTTTAGAGCCTTCGAACAAAGTACACCCTTTGTTCAACACTTTAGTCACTTTTTGACTACACGTTCGAGACTCACAATTCTTTGTTCGACAATTGAGGATTCCATTGACATGACTAAGTTTAGTACATGGCTTTGATACCATGTTAGGAATCATGGATCTCCACAATGGTATGATATTGTCCACTTTGGGCATAAACTCTCATGGCCTTGCTTTTGGGGAACCAAAAGGCCTCTTACCAATGAAGATAGTATCCTTGCTTATAAACCCATGATCATTCCCTAAATTAGCCAACGTGGGACTCCCTCCCATTAATCCTCAACAACCCAACCGTAAATACAGAAGAGTTCCAAGGTTAGAAGGTACTTTAAACCACTTCAATTGAGTTCGAAAGAGTAAACTAAGCTTTGCCAACTACGTCTTACCGAAAGGGGCTACGGTGCTTAATGGATTCTGTTCGAACAAGCTCAAGCTCACAATGCTGAACAGTCCACGGGAATCAGATCTGAAGTCGTCGAAGTTGGTCACAGCCAAAGGTCGTTAATCAGCCAAGAAACGCGTCGCTGCTGCCTAGGGGAGTTCCTGCTGCCGCGATTCTGGGTGCTGCCGTCGAAACACTAGAAACACATCCCTCGTGGTGGAGCAGGTCGCCGCTGTTTATGGGCGTTCCGCGTCGCCACTGAGGAGCGAGCGCCGTTCTTACGTCGGAGAAGAAGATCACTCGAGGGTGCACGTTGCGGTGTGGAGGTTAGTGCGTCGCTGCCGTTCGAAAACTGCAATTCCCTTAATCGAGGAAGAAGACCACCGTCGCGTGGGTTCGTCGCCGGAGTTGAAGAAGATGGGGTACTGCGCGGCTGATTGAGGGACGATGCATCCACCGGAGACTGAAGCTACAAAGACGGAGGGTGGGCCACGCTTCCTTTTCTTTTGCCATTCTTCTTTTTCCTTTTTTTTTCTTCCTTTCATTTTTATTCCCAAATAATAATAATAATTAAAAAAAAAAAAAGGTTAAACTAATAATAACAAATAATATAAAATTTCAATAATACTCATCTACTTTAAAAAAATAAAAATAAAAATATTCTTATAATTAAATTAATATTCTTAATTTTTTTAAAAAATTAAAATATATTCATTTAATTATTAGAATTTTTTTTTTATTAAAGTAGAGGAATATTATTCAAATTTTATCGTTAATACCAAACTTTAAAAATATGCCTTAATTTTTATAAAAATTTAAAATATATTACTAGCAAATTCGTTTATATATTAGTTATTTTTAATTTTTTTTAAAATAGTATAAATAAAACTTTTAAAAATTTAAAAATATTTTTTAATTGTTTAAAAAATTTTAAAATAAAAATATGAACAATATGATATTATTTAAACATTTTTCAAAAGGAATGTAATAACAATTTCTATCCAAATTTAACCGAATATATTTTATTTTTTTATTTTAAGAGGTTCATAATTATTGTTTGATTCCCAAATTTTAAAATTGTTCTATTTTTTTTTTTTTAATTTTCAAAATTTAATTTACCAGAGGCTGCTTGGTCCAAATATATAAATTTTGAGACTCTTGAAATATAATTAATATATATTTTAATAATAAATAAATAAATATCTTTGCTTTGTGCTTGAGCTAAAATCGAGCCCTGTTTCTATCCTCTCCCGTTAAAACCTCTCAACTCTCCCTGCCAGAGCTTTCTTCTTGCCGTTCGAGGCGTCTCAAATGACTTAGCCGGGCTTTGCTTGTTCATCCATGGCTATGGCATTTCCTGCCCCAGGACTTGCTTGGAGGATTCACTACACTCGCTCTCCGCTGCTCTTTTGCATTCGCAAGGTCTCTTTGGTTCTTATCTCCTTTTTTTTTTACGAATGATTATTCGCTTATATGTTAGCTATGGTAGATTCTTTCATATATGTGAACCTGCAATTGAGTGTTGTGTACGTGAGAGAGAACAAAAACTGATATCTATAGTTAGGAGAGGTCATTCATGGAGATTAGAGTGAGGGTTTTCTTCTGTGTATTGGCTGAATTAGAATGTCTCTCTCTGGCCATTACCATGGAAGTTGAACTCCTTAGTTGAACCACTCAACCTGTGTGCTCAGTTCTCTGTTCTTTTCTTTGTCTACATTTTGAATGCTGCTGGTGTGTTCAGTTCTTGTGTCTTTCTTGGGTATTTTAGATCAGAATTTTTTTTATTAAACTACTGAATCCACACTCTGTAGGCGCGAATTCAAAGCTCTGTAGTCATTGGGTCTACTACTGAATCAGCTATTCTCTGCAAGGAGGAAGATAAAGATTGTATTTCATTTGCTTTGCGTAGGAAAGGTAAACAGAATAATTCCATCTCTTATCCATATGTGTTTTTGAATTTCCATTTCATCTGGTAATTGAATACATTAGCTCGGAGTCTTGAAGCTTTACAATGTACACTAACCTGATGTATTTGATTCTGAATGGAGAAGAAATAGAGCGGGCTGATAGCTCAATACCTCAATGGAAGACATTGAGTTCTAAGGATCTTGGGATTGATACATCAATGATTTCAAAGCCCACGCGAGTGGTTTTAAATGGACTGAGGAAACAAGGTACTCTTTATTTTTATGGAACGATGTTTGGCGTTTGTTATGCATTAAGTTGGTGGCTAACGTTTGAACGCTAGAATGAATAACCTAAAGTGCTGCCACCTTGCATTCAACCTCCTTATTCCATAATCTGAGTTTGTGAAATATTTACTGTTGTCCAACCCTTCACAAGACCGGTTCTTCCATGTTTAAAAATAAAAAATATTACATGTCAGGTTAATAGTAGTATAGCCTTGAGAATTTTATTTCAGAATTTTGAAACTTTATCAAAAGTTTTAGTGATAGGAAGACTTTTGAGCTTGATTTTCAGCATTGAGTACCTGGATGCTCTTGATGTTCAGCTAGTGACTGATGTAAACACATGTAAATGAGTTCTAACATTCTTCTTTTATTACCTAATCTTTGTCGGTTTATTTTATGTTACTTCTGACGTGTAGGGTATGAGGTCTATCTTGTTGGTGGGTGTGTTCGGGATCTTATCCTAAGGAGAATTCCTAAAGACTTTGATATCATAACTTCAGCTGAACTAAAAGAGGTTCTATCAATATTTTTTTGGTTGTTTTTACTTGGAATTTTGTCATATTTGGCATGATCATATAGGAATTTTTGTATGCAGACAGATTCTTGCAGAACTTAGTTTCCTTTGAAAAAGTACTTCTCATAATGAATTTGTGAGGCTTAGTGAAGATATATATAACTTGATCTCTTGGAAGTTGTTTTCAAAAAATATTTCCTACATTTTAGAACAAAAAATCAGTGAAAAAACAAACAAACGAAGAATAAGCGGGGTTTTGGAAGTTATTTTCTCATATTTTCTCTTAGTTTGTTCTCATGAATAAAGTAACTAATGTTGTCCTTCCTTTGAAAATTAGGGGTGTGTAAATAGTTTCTGTACTATGACCTTCATAGTGCAAGTCACCGTAGTTCTCTCATTAGTCTTTAAAATTATTATTCTTCCTTTCTGGTTATCTTTTACATCGTTTTTCTATTGTGCTAAACTTTTATTTGGCTAAAGTTCATTAACTTATGTAGGTACGGAAAATTTTTACTCGATGCCTAGTTGTTGGAAAACGGTTTCCAATTTGCCATGTATATGTGCATGACACTCTTATAGAGGTTGGTTGATTAATTATTTCTATCCGTTGCTCTAAAAAGGCTATATTTCGTAGTTCTTTGCTAATGGTTAGCTTCAATACAATTAATGGCATACTCATTTTTCATTTTTGGTGCATTATGGAAAGGTTTCGAGCTTTAGCACCTCTGGAAGAAGGAATGGTTTTAATCATTACATTAACAAACCTTCCAACTTAAAGGAGCCTGATTATATTCGCTGGAAGAATTGCTCTCAGCGGGACTTTACCATTAACAGGTTATGTGACAAGATTCCTTATCTCTTTTTGTTGTCTTCATTTTCTTTTATAAATAAGAAAATAGAACTCTGATATTGATATAATACTTTTTAGCTATTTAAATTTTTCTGGACTTCCCTGTACCAATGGTTCTCAGGTGTAAATGTAGGCTGTAACGATTTAGTGTATATGTCTTCTTAATCCTTGCAGTTTGATGTATGATCCATACAAAAAGGTTGTATATGATTATTTGGGGGCAATGGAGGATATAAGAAAATCCAAGGTGTGCGTTTATTGAACCAGATTCAGTTCTAGAGTTCTTCCAATGAGTTGTTGAGCATGTGTAATTTTTGTTTCCTCTTGCTTCTGGATGAAGGTGCGAACTATAAAACCCGCAAATCTTTCTTTCACTGAGGACTGTGGTGAGCAAATGTTTGATACAGAAATGTTTAGATTTTGGTACTTTTAAGTATCAAGAAATAGTATGGGAAACATTCTTTTTTTTCTTATTTACCCATAGGTGGCATGCAATCTTAATGTATTGAAATCTAATTCCACAGCTCGAATTTTACGTGCGGTGAGAATTGCAGCCCGATTAGGGTTTCGTTTTACCAGAGATATAGCACTTTCCATAAAAGAGTTATCTTGCTCCGTGTTAAAACTTGACAAGGTATCTTACATTCCAAATACTGGGTTTATGGTTTGTTATCTCCTTAGGCCACTTTTCAATTTGTTTTTTTTAATGGTACAGGGGAGAATACTTATGGAAATGAATTATATGCTAGCATTTGGGTCTGCAGAGGCTTCTTTGAGATTATTGTGGAGATTTGGACTTCTCGAGATACTTCTTCCCATCCAAGTATATAATTCTTGTTCTACAATTTCTTTTTGATGTTAAACACAAATTTAGTGCTGCAATTTTTTCTTTTCTTTTTCCCCCTTAACCTAATTAGTTATTGTATCTTGTAGGCATCATATTTTGTTTCCCAAGGATTCAGGAGGCGTGATGCAAGCTCAAATATGCTTCTGGTTAGGGCTGCCATATTGTTCGTTATTACAATTTATTATGCATGTTCTATCTATGAGAATAACCCAATCTTTTCCTTCTAGAAAAAAAAAAATGTTAACCAGAATGAATCTGGTAGAAACCCTCCAAGAGAAATGTCGATTAACTGATAAAAGAGAGAAAACAGCCAAACTCTACGGACTTTCATGAGGTCTGGGACTCTCCTTTTCCTACCACAAATCTTGCCTATCTTCCTACTCTATAGAAGGAAAAACTAAAATTCATTTCTTCAACTTTCTAACAGACTATTGACCAAGTAGAATCTTACAATAGATCACATCCTCTCCCCGCACAAAATTTCCGACTTACTTTGTATATTTCCTTCTTATTCCTTATAGAACGTGTGAAGAGCGCAGGCTGTTTATCTGGGTTTCTTCTTCCTATCAGAATCCTTAGATTTAAGTACATTTTTCTTGCTCTTGTTTCCCTTGTACCTGCAATCATTGTAAGCCATCTAGGTGGACTCCTCGTCATATTTGGGGCTTTCTAGTGCATAACCCTAGGTGTGGATTTTTGGAACCCTGTCTTCAAGAAGATTCGAAAATGGTTTTCCTCTTGAAGATGTCTTTTTCTCTAAAGGAGGAAGGATGGTCCTTATTCAGTTAGTCTTAAGTGGGATTCTGACTTGTTTCCTATTTTTGTATACCTCGGAATCAGTTAATAAGAAGTTGGAGAGGTTGATGAGAGACTACCTTTGTTAAGGGGTTGATAAGGCGAAAAGTCTAACCTTGTGAGTTGGGATTGTGGTAGACCATTGAATTTCAAGGGACTAGGAGTGGGTAACTTAGGCTATTAAGAGGATATTTTGCCGTGATAATTAGTTAGAATATATCTCAGATATTTAGGGAGTTGTTAGTATAGATTTTATTAACCGTATATTTTATTTATTTACCAAATTTAGTTAGATATATATTTTTTCTATTTTTAGGTATTAGTTGATAGTTTGTATCCTATTTAAACGTGGTAAACCTGAATGAAGATCATACTTTCGATCCCAATTCTATTTCTATTTCTCATTCTTAACATGGTATCAGAGCACCGATCTTGGTGTTCTTAAATATCAAAATTTCCTTTATGGCGGAATCAGCCAAATCCAGCTTCAAAATTTCGGATGTTGATTTAACACATCCGTACTATATTCATCACTCTGATCAGCCAGGATATTCACTTGTTCCAATCAAATTAAATGGAGCAAATTACCAATCCTGGAGTAAATCAGTTATGCATGCTCTTATTGCCAAGAAGAAAATTGGCTTCATTGATGGCACAATTGAGGAACCGTCCCAAGATGCAAATTCAACCGAATTCGAACTCTGGAATCAGTGCAACAGTATGATAATATCTTGGTTAACTCATTCCGTTGAAGCAGATATCGCTAAAGGCATTATTCACGCCAAGACAGCTCATCAAGTGTGGGTTGATCTTCACGATCAATTCTCACAAAAGAATGCTCCAGCAATTTTTCAAATACAAAACTCGATAGCAACGATGTCACAAGGAACCATGGCGCTGTCAACATATTTCACCAAGCTCAAAGCACTTTGGGATGAACTGGAAGCGTACCGCACACCATTTACCTGTAATCAACGTCAAATACATATTGACCAACGCGAAGAAGACAAGTTGATGCAATTGCTCATGGGGCTTAATCAGTCTTATAAAACGGTGAGATCTAACATATTGATGATGTCTCCATTACCTAATGTGAGGCAAGCCTATTCATTACTTGTACAAGAAGAGATGCAGCGTCAGGTAACTTCCGAACCTACTGAGAATTTCTCGATTGCATCAGCAGTGCAAAAGAAAACAATATATTCAAAATTCGCCAAGGACAAAAAGTGTGAACACTGCAATAAAAGTGGTCATACAATCAATGAGTGTCGAATTCTTAAGTTTCACTGTAACTTTTGTGATAGAAGGGGCCATACAGAAGATCGGTGTCGACAGAAAAATAATTCTGGAAGGACAAGACAAGACAATCAACACAATAACCGTGGATATCGATCATCTGCAAATATGGCCGATGTTTCACAGTTGAATACAGAAGAACAGTCACCTAATTCCATTCCAAATTTTTCTTCTGAGCAATTACGAGAGATAGCACAAGCCTTATCTGCAATCAATCATCACCCTTCTGGTAATTCTGACAATCACGTCAATGTTGCAGGTTTGTTTCCCATATCTACATTATCTATTAACTCTGCGAGTTCTAATTCATGGATTCTCGATAGTGGAGCTACGGATCATATAGTATCAAAATCTTCTGTTATGACTGAACCAAAGGCTGCCATCATGTCTGCAATAAATTTGCCTAATGGAGAGACAGCACGTGTGTCACATACTGGCAATATTTCCCTTAGCCCTAACCTTCAATTAAACAACGTTTTATGTGTGCCTTCATTCAATTTAAACCTAATGTCGATCAGCAAACTTACCAATAACTTGAAATGTTATGTCACCTTCTATCCTGATTCTTGTGTTATGCAGGACTTGGCTACGGGGAAGATGATTGGCTCGGGTAAACAATTTGGAGGTCTCTATCATATTTCTTCATCTCCAATCAAATCTTCAGCTCATCAAGTATCTCAGTCATCTAATTTGTGGCATTTACGCCTAGGTCATCCTTCCTTTTCTCGTTTTAAATTTCTAGCTGATCAATTGCATCTTAATAATGTGAGTTATTCTCATAATTGTAGTATCTGCCCGTTAGCAAAACAAACTAGGTTGTCTTTCCCAAGAAGTTCAATAACAACCCATTCTGCTTTTGATCTGATACATTGTGATGTTTGGGGACCACATAAAATTCCTACCCATTCTGGTTTGCGTTTTTTTCTCACTATTGTTGATGATTTTACTCGATGTACTTGGGTTTTTTTAATGCAACATAAGTCAGAAGTACATCATTTGTTAATGAACTTTGTTAAATTCGTTCAAACTCAATTTCATACTACTATCAAGATAGTTCGATCAGACAATGGGACTGAATTCCTATCTTTGCAACCATTCTTTACTTCTTGTGGTATTGAATTTCAGCGCACTTGTGTCTATACTCCACAACAAAATGGAGTCGTAGAACGCAAGCATCGCCATATCCTAAATGTAGCTAGGTCTCTTCTTTTTCAGTCACAGGTTCCACTTAATTTTTGGGGAGAGTGCATTTTAACGGCTGTTTATCTTATAAATAGAACGCCATCACCATTATTATCTAACAAGACACCCTTTGAAGCACTCTACAAACGACCACCTACATTTCACCATCTTAAAGTTTTTGGTTGTAAATGTTATGCAACTATAGTACATCCTAAGCAAAAATTTGAACCTAGGGCAACTCCTTGTGTTTTCGTAGGATATCCTTGTGGTCATAAAGGATACAAGTTGTATGACATGCAATCTCACAAATTCTTTATCAGCCGTGATGTCAAATTTTGTGAAGATGATTTTCCTTTTTCATCAGCTTCACAAACTTCGACATTAGCTCCTTCGACTCCTGTTGTACCACTTCATGATCCATCCTACTCAAACATCCATCCTCCACCTTCTATTCCTTCACCTCCTACTCCTCCTTCACCTCCTATTCCTTCACCTCCTACTCCTCCTTCACCTCCTATCCCTTCACCTACTACTCCGTCGTCTCCTCCACCTTCTCCAGATTCGCCCACTAATTCCAATCCTATCCCACCTGATACATCAGCTCCACTTCGACGTTCTACTCGTACTAAACAGCCTCCAGCTTGGCATAAGGATTATGAGATGTCTTCTGGAGCCAATCATTTAACCTCTAGCTCAAGTCCCGGCACTGGCACCAGGTATCCCCTTCATCATTACCTTTCATTCTCTCGTTTTTCTCCTACTCAACGTGCTTTTCTAGCTCTTATTACATCCCAGACAGAACCTAAAACCTATGACGAGGCAGTTGGCGACCCGTTATGGCAGCAGGCTATGAATGATGAAATTGCAGCTTTGGAACGTAATCATACATGGTCTCTCGTTCCTCTACCACTTGGTCATAAAGCTATTGGTTGTCGTTGGGTGTACAAAATTAAATACAACTCTGATGGTTCTGTTGAACGTTATAAAGCTCGACTAGTAGCAAAAGGATACACTCAGGTTGAAGGTATTGATTACACAGAAACATTTTCCCCTACAGCGAAACTTACTACACTTCGTTGCTTACTCACTGTTGCTGCTGCTCGAAAATGGTTCACCCATCAGTTGGATGTTCAAAATGCCTTTCTCCATGGTAATCTAGACGAGGAAGTTTATATGTCTTTACCACCAGGTCTTCGCCGACAGGGGGAGAATACAGTATGTCGGCTCCATAAATCTCTCTATGGATTAAAACAGGCTTCTCGCAATTGGTTCTCCATATTTTCTACAACTATACAAAATGCAGGCTACACTCAGTCCAAAGCAGATTACTCTTTGTTTACTAAGAGTAAAGGTACTTCTTTCACTGCAGTTCTAATCTATGTTGATGATATTCTGTTGACAGGCAATGATCTCGAAGAAATTCAATATCTCAAGACTAGTTTACTCCAGAAATTTCTTATCAAGGATTTAGGAAATTTGAAATATTTTCTAGGCATTGAATTTTCTCGATCTAGAAAAGGAATTTTTATGTCTCAAAGGAAGTATGCTCTAGACATCCTTCAAGACACAGGTCTTACAGGAGCACGTCCAGACAAATTTCCTATGGAGCAAAATCTGAAACTTTCTTTAACTGAAGGAGAGAAGTTGAATGATCCAAGTAAATACAGACGGTTGATTGGCAGATTAATATATTTGACCGTCACTAGGCCTGACATAGCTTATTCAGTTCGTATGCTTAGCCAATTTATGCATGAACCAAGAAAACCACATTGGGAGGCAGCTCTTCGAGTTCTGAGGTACATCAAAGGCACTCTTGGTCAAGGACTTCTACTGCCATCTGAAAACAATTTAAGATTACAGGCATATTGCGATTCTGACTGGGGTGGTTGTCGAACTTCCAGACGATCTATTTCTGGGTTCTGCATTTTCCTCGGAAATTCAATTATTTCTTGGAAGTCTAAAAAGCAGACTAATGTGTCCAGATCATCAGCAGAAGCCGAGTATCGAGCTATGGCAAATACTTGTTTAGAGTTAACTTGGTTAAGATACATTCTTCAAGACTTGAATGTTCCACTGTCCGAACCAACATTATTATATTGTGATAATCAAGCAGCATTACATATAGCAGCCAATCCAGTTTTTCATGAACGTACGAAACACATTGAAATAGATTGCCATATAGTTCGAGAAAAGTTACAAGCTGGAATCATCAAACCGTGTTATGTTTCGACCAAAATGCAATTGGCAGATGTTTTTACTAAAGCTTTGGGAAGACAGCAATTTGACTTTTTGAAGGACAAGTTGGGTGTGATCGACATACACTCTCCAACTTGAGGGGGAGTATTAAGAGGATATTTTGCCGTGATAATTAGTTAGAATATATCTCAGATATTTAGGGAGTTGTTAGTATAGATTTTATTAACCGTATATTTTATTTATTTACCAAATTTAGTTAGATATATATTTTTCTATTTTTAGGTATTAGTTGATAGTTTGTATCCTATTTAAACGTGGTAAAGATCATACTTTCGATCCCAATTCTATTTCTATTTCTCATTCTTAACATAGGCGTCAGAACGAAGCCCTTTTGTCTAAGTTGGTGTGGCTCTTCTTCTTAAAGTCCAATTGGGTTCTCTAAAAATTGCATCCATTATTCATCTTGTAACGACCCAATTTTCAGTAACTCGAATCATAGGTCGCCACATACACTCAAGGGTAAAAAGGGTAGTAAAATTTTCTTTTATAAAACAAGATACACAAGGAATTTAAAATTTAAATATGCATTCAAAATCGACATAGAAGTAGTTTAAAGGTAATATCCGCGGAGCCAAGTCAAAATGGTTTAAAAAATACACAAGTTTCGAGAAGTAGCATTTAAAATAATAATAAAATTACAAGAAGAAAAACAACTCGATCTAAAGGGCACCCCCTGCAGCTGCACGGCTCCACACGCTCCCACCATCAATAGTGGTCTACACTCCATTTGAAAAAAAATAGAATAACATGGGGCCAGTATAATATATTTAGTAAGCAACCTACTTGTAGGCTCTTGTTGGACTTAATTCTTTACACGGAAACTTAAGCTATGTGCTCATAACTGTCCCCAGCGATAGCCAAACTGTGACTTACGTCTTCACTGTGTAGGTCGAGAAACTTACCGTTGACAGTATGGTAAAAAGCAATGAATCTTGTGAAGCTTCTTTCTTTGCTTGATGGGTTTGTGTTTTTCTTTAGAGGAAAGGATTGTCGTTTTTGGACTCTTGATTTGTTTTGGGGGGTCTCCTGTAGCTCTTTTCTCCTATTCTGAGGAATCCCTCTTCCTCAGCTTAGCCCTCTTTCTCCTCGTTGTGGAAGTTACAATTCCAAAGAAGGTTCTTTAGTTGGCTAGTTTTGCTTGGTAGGTGAACACTATAGATTGGATTTTGAGGTATTCTTCCTTTCCTAGGGGAGTGATGCATTCCTTGCTAGAGTGTGTCTGAAGACCTGAATTATTTTCTTTGGGATTGTTGGTTCATTAGGATATCTATCTTCAAGTGTTTAGTGTTATCCTTGTGAGTACCAGGGAGTGTAGATCTATGATGGTGGAGATACTCTTGCATTCACCCTTTCATGACGAGGGTTGAATTTTGTGGTAGGCTGGCTTCTTTCTTGTCCTTAAGGATGTGGAGAGGCAATGGGAAAAGGTTTCGTCTCTTGCAAGGTTTAACGCCTCTATTTGGGCATTTGTTTTCAAGCATTATCAGCTAGGTTTTATTACTAGGGATGTTTTTGTCAGTTTCTCTACCCTATCAGAATCCTTAAATTAAATTACATTTTTCTTGCTTTCATTTCCCTACTAGCCAAGATTGGCTGACATGCTTAGCGACTGACCTGGTTGTGAAAGATACTGCTTTATCGGCAATGAGTATAAACACAGTAATTTTTATTTTCTGGCAAAAAAAAAAAAAAAAAAAAAAAAAAAAAAAAAAAAAAAAAAAATTACATATATACATGAAACCAATTTCCTTTCTTTGCAATCATGCAGGTTTTACTTTCCAACCTTGATAAATTTGTGGCACCCAATCAACCATGTCATAGCAGCTTATGGTACAATCAATCTTTTGAATGCTGTCATTACTTTTAGATTATTGGAAATTTATTTAATGTGTTATCAATGTAATGTTAAGTCATTGAACTATATAGTTGTTTTTATTATTCTATAAATTTCGCTAACAAGTTAGTTTGGCATTTTAAAACTTGGTAGAATCTATAGTTGAATTACGCAATAAATGGGTTTTGAGGATGGGTTTGCTGGAGAAACCAAAATAGCTAGCTCATGCTTGAAATTTTGGCTAACGGGTAACTGCCCCTCTTTGAACCCAATGATAATGTCGAAAAAGTGGAAATCAAGTTCTAAATCACTGTTTAATGGTAATGAAGTTTTCAATTTTAAATTTTTTCGTAGTTGATATGCGCTAGATGTGATTTGATGCATAAAAAAGATCCTTCAAAATCTATTGCATGATGAGCCAAGATTAGTTTACTCAACAATACAAAATGGAAGCTCTTATGTTAGATTATTATTTGCCTGTACTTGTCAAATGAGGTTTTCTGGATCATCTCCAAGATTTTGTGCTTTATTTCAGGATTGCTCTCTTAGCATTTCACAAAGCTCTGGTTGACCAGCCTCAAGATCCATTGGTTGTTGCTGCGTTTAGCCTTGCTGTCCATAGTGATGGATCCTTGTATGAAGCAATTGAAATAGCCCAAAGTATCTCGCAGCCACACGCATCATTCCCTGAAATAATAGAAAGTAACCATAAAGAATCAAATTATGCACTGATGGACCAGGTCGTTGATCTTGCTGTTTCAGTGAATGCCGTGTTGTGGAAGATGACTGATCACCAGTATGTTTCGCAAGCCATGATCAACTATCCTCAAGCTCCTTGGTCAGATCTGGTGAGGGTCAAAATATTTTATCCATATTTTGATTCCGGTTTTTGGTGATCTCAAGTTAGAAATGTTATATTTTCAAGGCTATGCTTGCGGTGCTTTTATGTTTGGGAGTAACATAGAAAACACTTTTAAAGAGTCTAAAACAAAACATCAAAGTAATCTAGTAATCTAGTAATCTAATATTAGGCCGTTTATACCAAGGTCCTACGATTAAATTTAAATTACTTTGGGAAAAGTAATTAGTTTTGGAGTATTCTTATGAGATCCCACATCAGTTGGGGAGGAGAACAGAACATTCTTTATAAAAGTGTAAAAACCTTTCCTTAGCAGATGCGTTTTAAAACTTTGAGAGGAAGTCCGAAAGGAAAAACCCAAAGAGGACAATATCTGTTAGTGGCGGGCTTGGACTGTTACAAGTGGTATCAAAGCCAGACACCGAGCAATGTGCCAGTGAGGAGGCTGAGTCCCGAAGAGGGGTGGACACGTGTTTTAAAACCTTGAGGGGAAGCATGGAAGGAAAAGACCAAAGAGGACAATATCGGCTAGCGGTGGGCTTAGGCGGTTACAAATGGTATTAGAGCCAGACACAGAGTGATGTGGCTGTGGCAGTGAGGAGGCTGAGCCCCGAAGGGGGTGGACACGAGGTGGTGTGTCAAGAAGGACGCTAGGCCCCGAAGGGCATGGATTGGGGGGTTCCCACACAATTGGAGAAGGGAACAAGTGCCAGCGAGGACGCTGGGCCCCGAAGGGGGGTAGATTGTGAGATCTCACATCGGTTGTGGAGGAGAACGAAACATTCCTTGTAAAGATGTGGAAATCTCTCCCTAACAAACGTGTTTTAATACCTTGAGGGAAAGCCCAGAAGGGAAAACTCAAATAGGACAATATCTGGTAGCGGCGGGGTTGGGCTGTTATAATTCTCCCACAGAATTTATGACACCATTTCTGTTTATATTACTCTTTGTTGAGTATGGTCCTGAATCGAGGGAATGTGGAATGCAGGAGATAAGCTTATCTTCCTAAATGCCTTCCATTATTGCTAACATCTTTAATGTTCTAATACTCTTGTTGCTTCCATTTGCAGGTTTTTATTCCACAAGCTTTGTCAATGAGGGTATGTAAAATTTTTGAATGTGTTAGAAGGGGCAAGGAAAGGCGACCGATTCCAAAAAGAAGTAGAACAATTAACCACGATTCCTTGGCTTTGGGCAACTTATCGGAGGTTCGACATGTTTTTGCTAGGATTGTTTTCGAGACGGTTTACCCTCGAAACCAAAATAGACAGATTAATAATGTCAAATCAACCGAGGGGTGAACAGGTTACGCTCATATCTGAATCTTTGTTTGTGCAATATGGCAACACGAAGAGATGACCGATATTAAGTTTATCGGTAAGCACATAACTTGTCGATTCGGATGGCCGATTTTGATCTTCTAGGCATAAAAATACAGCAGCAGATGCAAAGGCTGTTGAAGTTTGGGAATGTGCACGGAGGGGAAGTGGATTGAATTGGGAGTTTATTTGATCAGAATCATCTTCCCACTTGAGTTTCTGTAAATTCATTACAATAATACATTGCAGAAACTCAGTAGCATAAAATTTGAGTTTTAGTTCAGTAATTTTCATGGTTCTAAATTTCAAATACTTTTATATAAATATTTCTACTTCTATTTTTTCATAAAAACTTTAAAAATGATACAATAATTGCAAAAATTTCTTTTATATATCAGTCGGTTTGAGCGACGTTGACTTGTCGACTGACCGACTAGTCAATTTTTCTATTCACAAAACAAACTTTTGCAAACATATATCAGTATATCGGTCCGTTTAAGCAATCTTGGACTTGTTGATTGATCGACTAGTCAATTTTTCTATGTACGAAACAAACTTTTGCAAACATATATCAATATATCAGTCGGTTTGAGCGACCTTGACTTGTTGAATGACCTACTGGTCAAATGTAACAAACTTTTGTAAACATATATAAGTATATTGGTTGGTTTGAGTGACATTGGACTTGTCGACTGACTAACTAGTCAATTATTCCGTAAATGAAACAAGCTTCTACAAACATATATCAGTATATCGGTCGGTTTGAGCAACCTTGGACTTGTCGAATGATTGACTAGTCGCTTTTTCTATATATGAAACAAACTTCTGCAATCATTTATCGGTCAGTTTGAGTAACTTTGGACTTGTCAACTAACTAACTAATCAATTTTTCTATGCACGAAACAAACTTCTACAAACTATATCACTAAACCAATCAACCGAGTTGGTTCATTCGACTCAATTTTTGTTCGGTTGACTCGACTTTTCGATTTTCTTTTGACTCGAGGCAGTTGGTTGATATATGTTTGTCCTTAGTACAATTGGAATTTAGGTGGGTGGCGTTTTTTAAGCCATCAATATTAGCCATAGTCTTAGGTTAGTTGTTTTCTCAGCTTTTTAGCCTTAACCAAATATATATATAATAAAATAAAATAAAATAAATAAATATAATCGAGTTTGGTAGTAATGGGTTTGATTTGCGCAGTTAATGGCGCACAGCACGCGCCGTGGCAGGTTGGTTCCAAATTTCAATTAAATTAATTAATTAATTAATTAATTAATTTAATTAACACAAACAACCATAAAATTAAAGTCCTCTCCACTGGAAACTGTGTAAGCATGCGCCTGGCCCATCTTCCTCAATCACCACTCCACGTTTACATTTTTAATTAATTATTTTTTTTTTATTAAATCCCTAAATTTTAAAAACTAATTAGATTTAAATTTTAAATTTTAAGTCGAGTTAATAAACGAGTCAATTTCAAGAAATATATATAAATTTAGGGACTAAATTTATAATTTTGAAAGTCGATACAGATATAGATTTTAAAATTGATGAGCTAAATTTATTCTCTTTTTAACTTTATATTTATTTATTACACATAGCAATTATTTATTTTTAGGATTAAGTATAATTTAAATTTTCATATTAAATACAAAATAATAATAAATAAATAAAATTAATTTTCTTTAATTTATCATAGACTAAACACACCTGCCACATGGAAGTATTGTCAGCTTTTTATTTCTATATGTAATTAAATATTTTTAGTTTAGTGAAAAAGGGATAAATATGGATAAATTAATAATTTAAATTTTAAAATAATAACGTGTAATTCATACCATTTCTAAGAATCTAGCCTAATCATAAAATAATTATTTAAGTAATTATATAAATATATGTATAATAAATAAAAATATATATTTTAAAACTAACAATTTGGATGATGAAAGTCACATGTCAGTTAATTTAGGGAATGATCATATGTTTATGAGGTCTTTTTGGGGAAGCCCAAAGCAAAGCGACAATGCTCAAAGTGGACGATATCATACCATTGTGAAGAGTCGGTGTTTGTCTAACAATATGAACCAACTCAATACATAAATTTTCATTTATTAAACTTAATCCAACCCAATTTGGCACGGATTGAGTTGTTCAAACTTTCCAGATTACTCGGTTTTTTAAACCTTCCTAGTTTCATTTCTAGTATCAGCTAATTCATTCGAGCGAGAATCACGCTTTTCCATATTTAAAATAACGCCCGCACAGCAACGAGTAGTTGGTGGCGTATTTACTTAAAAAGAAACACAAAAACTTTTTAAAAATGTCTCCAAGAATTGGCCCACCATGTGCAACTTTCCTCCCATCTTAAAAACCAAAATAATTTCTTTTAAAATTTTCTTTTTGTATATATATAATTGAAGAGACAAACTTAGAACACTTTTGTTTGTATTCATCATTTAAAAAAAAAAAAAATTAAAATAAATAAAAAGTTATGTTCTTTTTATTATTATTATTATTATTATTATTATTATTATTTGCTAAAATTCATGTCACTTTCACCTTGTAAAGTTAAGAAATGGAACCACAAATACACATTCTTCTTCTCCTTCTTCACCTTTTTCTTTTTGTTTCTCTTCATTATTACCTTTTTTTTTTTTTTTCAAAACCGCTCTGATTAGGTTTGAGCGTAAATTTCGATTCAAAAATTTGCTTACTTTTTCGTCTCTTCTACTCGAGAATAATCGTAAACGTAATCGTCTGACGTTTTATACCCAAGTTGATATCGAGTATGTTTCGTCAAAGGCTGGAATACAAACCACCTAGTCTGGGTGTAATAATGTTGAGACATATAAGATATGTTTGGTTTGGCCGAGCTACTTACACCACTTATATTTTACGGTTCCCGACCTAATTATAGTGATGGAATCAAGTAGATATATATGGTCCACAGACGATATTGTACTTTTAAAGGGTCGGCAAGGATCCCCTAATATATCTGAATCGATGAGAAAAGGGCACCTTTTACGCGTTACATTGTAGAAGGCGTTGGTATGAGATGGTAGGGCACACTATGAGAAAAGGAGGAGGGGGAGATGGGGCCAATGTTTGAGTATCTCTATGTCCTATCCTCCTTGGATTTAAATGCGTTTTCTCTAACATGCTCGAGTGCCAATCATGCACCCATTCGACCCCATCTTCCACCACGCCGTCCCTACATTTTCGTCCATCTCATTATTTTGCTTTTGCTTTTCTGTCATCCCGACTCGTCTCGTGAGTAACACGACACTTTAATTGTGATAGTCCCGCTCGAGAGTGTGTTGTACAGATATGTTTTGGTTTTATCGTAAGAACTTAAGCTCACTGCGTGTAGATATTGTCTGTTTTAGTCTGTTATGTATAGCTGTCAACTTCATGATTTTGAAATGGGTTTCTTAGGGAGAGGTTTTCACACTCTTATGAACCGAGGTGGGATCTCATAATCCACACGCCATAGAGGCCCAGAAGGCCCAACGTCCTAGTTGGCTTGTCTGTTTTAGTTGGTTACCTATCACTGTCAATCTCATGATTTTAAAATGGGTCTACTAGAGAGAAGTTTTCACACTCTTATAAACCGAGGTGGGATCTCATAATCCATACCCCTCAGAGGCCCGGGAGGCCCCACATCCTTGTTGTCACTTCGTTCCACTCTCCAACCGATGTGGGATCTCACAATCTACCTCTTTTGGGGCTCAACGTCCTTGTTGGCACACATCCTGGTGATACCCTTATAAGAAATACTTCGTTCTTTTCTCCAACCAATGTGGGATCTCACAATCCACCCTCTTTGGGGACCCAGTGTCCTCGCTCTCCAACCAACGTGGGATCTCACAATCCACCCTCCTTGGGGACCCATCGTCCTCGCTCTCTAATCGATGTGGGATCTCACAATTCACCATCTTTGAAGACCCAGCATCCTCACTCTCCAACCAATGTAAGATCTCACAATCCACCATCTCTAGGGACCCAGCGTCCTCGCTCTCCAACTAATGTAAGATCTCACAATCCACTTTCCTTGAGAACCCAGTGTCCTCGCTCTCTAACCAATATGAGATCTCACAATCCACCCTCTTCAAGGGCCCAACATCCTGACGGGCTCACCACCCAATATCTAGCTCTAATACCATTTGTAACAATTCAAGCCTGCCACTAACAGATATTATCCGTTTTGACCCATTACGTATCGTCGTTAGGCTCACAATTTTAAAAAGTGTCTACACCAAGTAGAAGTTTCCACACCCTTACAACAATTCCTTCATTACTTCTCTTCAACCAACGTGAGATCTCACATATTACAATCTCAACTAAAATGTCACAGGATCCAATCTTCCGTTAAAAAAAAAAAAAAAAAAAAACTAATTTTTAAACAAAAATTGAAAATGAACTATTTTAATTAAATTGCAACTATATCTATATATATATATATATATATAATACTTGTAAGGAAAGCAAAGCACCAAAGCCTTTCCACAACTTGTATTCACAAAAAAAGGGCAAAAAGAGACATCATAGATCTTTCTATTTGGTAATTCATAATAATAATTATTATAATATTTACTATAACCTTTGCTTTACACTTTAAAAGCCAAATATATATAAAAAATATATATGCATTAATTTTGGTGCATTGCAGTTTGCAGGCCAATTCCCACAGCTATTATTATTACTTTATTATTTATTTATTTATTTATTTATTATTATTATTATTATTATTATTATTATTATGGCTCAGTTTGAATTCAGTGTTTTCCACAGTCAAACTCCCTCATGTCTAAATCATTTCCATTTCATACTCTCTCAACAACTTTCACCTTTTTTTAACTTTATCAATTAATCTTTTAAAAACCTATGAAATTGTTATAATTTAATTTTTATATATTATAAATTAATATAATTAAATTAAATCAAAATTTTAAATTGAATTTTCTCTTATATATATTAAAAATAATTAGATTGGGCTGTAATAATTATTATATATTATTTTACAATATTTAACCGTGTACTTTGATTATATTCAACTCTCTCGTAAATGAACCCGTAAATGAACCGTGAGAAGACCCGACCCAAGAATTTAAATTTGAGTAAAATATTATTTTAATTCTTATTTTTGTTTATAAATTTAATTTCACTATTTTTCAATAAATCTTTAAATTAAAAATTTAACATTTATTATCCATCTATAAATTTTGTCATTTATAATTGATTAAATAATAATAATAATGTTCATACTAAAACAAAAATTTATATATATATATATATAATT